CTCTGAGAGACCACTGCGTTGACAAGAGAGCTAAGATAGTTATCTATAGGGCGGATCTTTGGGCCGTCATCAGTTTGGCCTTGCACCACGCCGAAACGATGAGTGATCGTTCCGTCAGGCGGGATACAAGACTCAGGAACCGGGCCTTCCACGAAGCCCTTGGCAAGCTCCTTTTCTGTTGCAGCAAGTACCCCTTGGTCCACGGCCTCGTCGCCTGAACTTTTCACGGCACTTAAAACCTGACCCCTAACTATCCTAGCACTTTTCCTCAAAGTCTCTTCAGCCATCGCTGCTGGACGGTACTTGTCCTTGAAGACGTGGGACCGCGGCAGCGGTCCTGTCAAGTCGAAACCTGTCGACAGATCGGTGATCAGATCCTCGTCCTCATGCCCTACACTATCCAACATCTCCTTCATCAAAAGCAACCGCTTTGAATGCAAGATTTTTTGACGGTGAGGGCTAAAGGAATTTTTGAGCTGTTCCTCGTCTGCACTTAACTCGGATGCGCGCTCTACCCATTTGCGAAGCGTCTCGGTACGCTCTTGCCCAAGCACGGCAGCACTTTTAGAGTGGTTCACCCGGATTGCATGAACCAGTTCAGCGGGCAACAGACTTTCCAAGTGGCATGGATGTTGCTCCAAAAGTGCCTTGGCAACAAACTCCTGAGGCTCATGGTAGACACCAAAGGAAAGGCTGCCTTTATGTGCGTCGGCTGATGAGCCGGTTCCAGTTGGACCTTCTGGAGCTGCCGGCTGGCTTGACTCACACCCCAAGGGAAAACCTATACCTTGCAGGAACGCACGGTCCGCACTGCCAAGCCTGGTCACACCGGCGGGCGTGTAGGCTACAACTATCCCACGATCCCCGCGCCACTGCTGAGTAGCGTGCCACTTGCGCGGTTCAAAAGTGAAAGGCCTTCCAACGTCCAGGGTGTGATTTTTGCCTACCCGGCGACCTTGCTCGACATCGACGGCCACACGGCCGCTGGCGTCCTCGAGCCAAAGTCCCCCGCCTGAGCAAGCATGCGTAGCCATGACAAGGTTTTTGGTGCCCGGCTCGTTGTGCAAATCTCTATGAGCTTTAGCCTTTACGTTAAGCAGAAAACCCACCGCAGAGAACGGGAAACCGGGGGCCCGTTCTCTAACATGCCTGCACAAGACAGCGGCGCACCAAGGCATTTCACATGTGAGATTTTTGCATCCAATCATCGGCCCATGTGCGTAGGCCCCACACAAGAACTGATTGGAATTATCATCGATGTCACCTCGTCCCCTCTTTTGATGT